CCTTTGACCTTCGGCGACTCGTCCGTAACCCACCCCCCACCCCCCCTCCCCCCGTAACGTTGTAAGGTGACCATGGCCGCCGTCCCGGCTGCTCTCCTCCCGCCGAACTCTCTGGTCCCTCCGCCGCCTCCTCCTCCGCCCCAGGTCGCGTCCAGCAGCACCGGCATCAGCGCGTCCCCGCCGTCGGCCACCTCCTCTCCGTCTCCGTCCTCCTCCTCCTCGCTGCCTCCCCTGCCGGCTGCGGTGGGAGCCGCACAGACGCTCTTCCGCTCTGAGCTACTGGCCGCCGGCAGCCCGGCGGGCATCGCGGCGGCCGGCAAACCCGTCTACTCCACTCCGTCGCCCGTGGAGAACATCCCGCAGAATAATGAGTGTAAGATGGTGGAGCTGCGCGGGGCCAAGGTGGCCTCATTCACGGTGGACGGCTGCGAGCTCATCTGCCTTCCCCAGGCGTTCGACCTGTTCCTCAAGCATCTAGTGGGGGGCCTGCACACAGTCTACACTAAACTCAAGAGGCTGGAGATCACGCCGGTGGTGTGCAACGTGGAGCAAGTCCGAATCCTCCGCGGGCTCGGTGCGATCCAGCCCGGCGTCAACCGGTGCAAGCTCATCTCCAGGAAGGACTTCGAGACGCTCTACAACGACTGCACTAACGCCAGGTGAGTGAAAGAAATGTGTGTGTGTATGTATTTGTGTGTGAGTGCGTGTGTGTGTGCGCGCGCGCGCGCAGCGGGATGGAGGTCCACTGTGGTCCGCGCTTCTTGCGCGTAAAGCGCACGGAATTCCGTTTTAGTGCGTAAATTGCAGGATATTAAAACGTTGTTGTGAGTGCCAAAGTGTTTGAAGCGTGCGTAAAAGTTCAGACATCCAGGGAGGGTCAGAAAAAAAGCTTGACATAAAAGTTATGTCCCGACCAAAAAAAAGGTCACTTTAGGGATTAATTCAAGAGCATTTAATTGGTGACAGTCATTTTAAGCCCTCAATGGGAGCTTCAATTTAATTGTGGTGTGTTTGTTTATATATATATATATATAGCGTACACAAAACCAAATCGCACACATGTAGGCATGCAAGGAGATATGTCAGAGTGAAAGCGGTACACAAACAGTGCTGCGGGTGTCTGGATAGTGCCTTGCTCCAGGGCACATCTACAGTAGCGTAGAAGCAGGCCAGCAACTCTCCAACAACTCGTTAACATTTTTTTATAAACGTGACCCTATCGCTCCAAAATCCAAATTCTCATAGATGAGCTCCTGCAGCCTGCAGTTAATGATCAAATTATTCAATTGATGCATTCAATTATGGTAAATCATAAATATTTTTTTTCCAGTGACACACTTTTTTTACAATCAATTTTAAAAGAAAATATATAATAGTATATATTTTTTAATTGACTGCCATGACTCCACTCCATAATAATGATTACAAATGTACCAAGTGCACATGCCAGGAATTATGATGGGAGATTAACGATCCTCAATTAAACAGCCTCCATTTGTAGAAAAGCTCACCACAGATACATTAGTGGTGCGCGCACACACACAAACACACCAGGGAGGGAATGAATCCATCATTCCATATTAGCAATCAGAATATTTTTGGATCTCCATATGTTTGAATATGACATGATTAAAAAGCCACAGATCAATAGTTGATTATTCCTGTCTCTCACACACACCGGTCAGACTGACCCTCTCACCTGTCATTGTGATTGATTCCGTATCGATCCCCCCCACCAACCGTTTCCACGGAGACGAGCAGAAAATGCAAATATGACGGGAAGGTGGCGGAATAGTTGTCAACACTTCGAGTCACTTGGTCAGCATTAAAAATGTTGACTACCGCTTAAATCACTTTGATTACCACTCACATATGTTTTATGTCAAGAAGGGAAAGCTTTGCTTAATGGAGCATTTTTGCATTATTATTATTATTTTTTAATAGAATAAAATGTTAAGCTGGAGGACCTTTTCAGATTTCATCAACATTGAATATATAGACAAAATATGTCAGTCAATCATGTTTATTATCGTATGTTATGTGCATCAGTGAGTTCCATGTTTTTCGGCAGTTTGACTTTTCTTGTTTTAGAATTTCAAAATTTGCAGATACATTTCATGCCCTTCATTAGACGACGGCGTCAATACACAGCGTCAAACATTTGACAGAATGCCCCGTGGGATACGTTGTGGTCATTTACCACCATGCATTTCGTGTTAAAATTAGGCCTTCAAAGTTATTGCTGTGTATGATCCCATGGGTCTATTGGTTGCCGAGCCCCCCCTCCCCCCGCTCTTCATATGCTTATCAGGCATTAGTCAACTATGTAAGCTAAAATGAGCAAATCTTGACACACATGCGTCACCCGCTTCCTCTGTGGTGACATAGTCGAATGCCTCTTCATGTCGACGTGTAGGTGTGTGTTTGCGCGTGTCGTTTTGGTGGATTGCTTTGGGTTAAAGGATAATGCAGTGCCTCGCGCCGCTTTAATGACGCTAAAGTGCCGAGCCATTTCGGGGCACACGGACACAGCACTGTAATTGTCTGTGAAAGCCACCAGGTCCTGCGGGTCGGTGCTGGGCTCCAAATCAATCAGTCAAGAAGAGGCCTGCCCTGCCGAGCGTCCGTGCGCCCACTTGTCCCATTTGGAGAATTACATCACGTGCAAGAGGCATCTGCTGGATAAAAGGCTTCTGTTGCTTACAATGATTTTATTTGCCGGGGATGTGTGTGCATGCGGGGGTGTGTTAGTGTTTGATTGAACTGCCGCTGACAAGATGGTCAGTTTGTGTAAACAGGTTGCCCGCCCCCACCCCTTTTTTCCCACCCGTCAGATGAAAAAGTATCTTCTGGAAATAGTCTCGCCTCCCCATCAGTTGCTGCTCTTCTTTATTTCGGCAACAATGAGGTGAATAATACTTGTGTATCGACTACAATGGGGTTGCACTATTTCACATGCAGCTATTAAGCCACCACCCCCTGCCCTCCTCCCTCTGTTCACCCCGCTTGTCTATTGTGCTAAAACAACACAGTTCAACATTGTACCATCACCGGTTGTTGCCTCTTTGAGAAATAATTTGGATTCATACAACTCGTTATGATGTTGAGCATGTTTCCAACTTTGTTTGGACGTCACTGTCCAAAAAAATGTTAATAACAAGAACGCACCTCCTTTCCTTCTCTTTTGCTTTTATCCCTGAGCACCAGGCTAAAAAAGTGTTTATGAAAAAGGGCAACAAAAAAAAAAGTATAAGGATACATGCTTTTCATTGTTTAATCTCGTGATGAGGATTGCCGTAAAGCTACTGAACTGGTTTCTGTTACAGGACGAGGCAGTCTGAGTTTTAATAACAAAATGGAGGTACTGAATAACTGTCTCAAGTTAACATCATCCTTAAATCATTTATAAATACAGTAAATAAATACCACACCCGACCGTTTGTGTGTGTGTGTGTGTGTGTGTGTGTGTGTGTGTGTGTGTGTGTGTGTGTGTGTGTGTGTGTTGGGGTTAAAAAAAACTGCTGGCAGTAATGCCACCATGTGTTGAGTTATCACAGCAAAGACGTGGCATCTGTAAAGCTGATAAGCTTTGGTGGAGCTCAGAAAAAAATCGAAGCTCATTGTAAAAACATTTATCGGAAGCCATCTTATTTACCACAACTGACACCTCTTGCAGCCCTTACCCGGTGTATGTAAAGCCGATGTTGATTTTAAACAAAATAAGATGGCGTGAAATGCTTTAACGTGAAACAGTATTTCTCAATATATCCAGGAGGGCTGACCAATTAATTCCAATGCACATGGCAATGTACGAGGATGCCATTTTAAACGCGCAGATTCTGTAATTTAAAACAAAACACTTCATTTTGGTCAGACAGTAGGCTTTATATTTTTATTTACCGGTATGTTTATTCAATATATTGATTATATGATCGCAATCGTTATATGATGGGGAGGATCACCATTAGATAATATTTCAAAATCGTTAAGTCGTCGTATACTGACCACAAGTACATACGGTAGCTAACCCCAAATGGACTCTCGGCAATCTTCACTTCCTCCCCGGGTAAAACAAATGATAGAAGACAATGGTTATTTTCCTTATGACAGATACCACTAGGTGGCGCCATATACATCTTCACTCCATCACACCCTGCCCGCAGATACGATGTGGTATCTGTAAAGCTGACGTTTAAGATTGAGTATAAACTGTAATTTAGAAAAAAAATTGAGTACTCTCAGTATCATTCCTTTAAGCTTACCCGATCTTCTCTGCCGTTTAGTACGTAAATGCTTACGGAAACTTTCTGAGCAAATGAGTTTTGCATCAACGTTCATTCAAAATGTGCCATTTTTTGGCACAAGGGGAGGTTTGTTTTTGATGTGACCTTACAACATGTGCCTTTTACGGGTGCACTGTGTTTTTGTACTTTGTAATTATTGTTAATCTTTAGGAATATCGTCATTGTTGACCCCTTGATATTCTGAAGGGCTCTCCTGCGCCTCTTTCCTTTGCCTACCACACACTAACAGGCACACACAGATCGAGGTTCAGTAATCTCCCTTACATTACGAGTGGCCCTCCAGGAGCCCCCCCCCCTGTTCCAGCTACTTGTTTTCCTTTTCATTTTCCCCGCGGTGGGATGGGAAAAAGGTTCTTATTGCCGCGTGACACTTGAACTCTCTGAAAGGTTATTATAACATAGCAGGTGGCGGTGGTGGGGAAGCGAGCTGTTTGGTGGACCTAAAGATATCGCATATCTCTCATTGGTCTGCTGTTGCTGAGAAAGGCGCAGCAATGTTGCAGTTAATTGACAATCATGGTCCCGCCTCACTCACCCTGAAGGTTAAGCACCCCAGACAGCGTCATGCGACTGGGGAAGGAGGCCCTCCTTAAATACAGTCTTTATCGCCGCGAGGCACCCACGATATTGCGACTTTCTTCACCCAAAAATTACAACCTTATTCTCATGTATATTTTGATTAGCAGATCTTAAGTCCAACACTTTTTTTTCATGAAATTGTTTTCTTGTGATACTGTTTTTTTTTTTTTCTTCTGAAACATTCAGAAACGGAGTCTCACTCTCATGATCTTTTTCTCAAAATTGTACAAGGTTATTCTAACTTAAAAATACAACAAAAAACAACAATATTACAACTTTAAAACAATGTGCACTGTTCTCATATTTGTCCTGCGTTTGTTCTTGAAATATTCAGCTTTTATTATGTCCCTAAAATTTGCAATATTTCTCATCACTTTACTGGCCAAAGTATAAGTGCTAACATTGTTACGTTATTCTCATGCGTGAATACGTGCTTGCCACGGGGTTAATAAGGGTTTCTCATCTTATGATCATTTCTTGTAATAAGATGCTTTATTCCACATGTGTCGTCTGCAAGTTGTTTTCTTGTCCCCGTGTGTGTGTGTGTGTGTGTGTGTGTGTGTGTGTGTGTGTGTGTGCGTGTGTGTTGTAGTGTCTATTAGAGGGGTCCCCGACCTTTTTGAAAGTGAGAGCCACTTCTTGTGAACTGATCACTTGAAGGTCTACCCGTTTGATACACTCTTCTAAAATAATTTTGTTCCAATAACTGTTAATTAATAATACTCACTTCTATGAAATGCTGAGGAAATCGCAATATTCCATCACTGGTGAGCTAA